ATCTCGGCGGCACACGACTTCTGGATCCTACTTGGGGGATCAGGGGACATAGCAAGTACTGGTTGACGAACGCAGACCTACTTACTTGATCCACTCATCGTCTCAGTTGTGGAGCATCGGGCTTTGACTGTTCGCTGGCATTTGGAGCTGCGATGAGGCCTTCGCCTCTTTCCCGGGGGGGAGGGCTTGCTTTTTCTCATTTAGCGATCGCCTCACTTTCGCTCGTGCAATCGGTTTGTAAGAACGAATTGTATTAAGGACCCCAAAATCGGGCCACTTTGTGCAGCAGCAGCTCCCGCCGGGCTTATCTGCCTCGTGCTGACTGCTTAGTTAGCTATTTACGGACTGAGTAAATAGGCAATCAGACAGCCTATAACCCAACTAGGGAGGGCAGCCCCTCATAGCCTAAACCCGTACGCCTTAGAAACGGCATCAGACTTTCAGTGGTCCTGCGTTTGCTTCTTCCAGGCGCAAGAAAGACCTTCCGGTTTCCGGACGGAAAGCAGAATTAATCGAACGATTACTCGGCAGCAAGTGACCGGCTTGCAATTTCGTCAGCGAGCGAAGCTGTCGTGATTGTCACAGCTCTGCAACTATCTGTCCTGGCAGCAAAGCAGACATTGATGCTACGTCGCTGTAGTAGACGATCCATGCCGCTACGTTCTTGCCTAGCGCAATGTTGCAACTTCCTGGCCTCGGGCAAACCGACTGCACTTCAGCATTCGATGGCCTGTGTCACAAATCGAGTGCAGGAAAAGAGGCTGCATAGCACGTGTCGAATCAAGCCGACATGGCTCCGTGCTTGCAGACTCTGTGCAAGCAGCTCTCGAAGGATCGAGTTATTCTGCTGGCGCGGTGGAAAAGAAAGTCAAGCTCCTCAGAACATCGCTGACAAGTTCATACTGCTTGCCAATACATGACATGCTTCACATTGGCATACCATCACCTGTTTCCGTCATGGAACTGTAGCAGTCGCACCACTGGGAGTTTCAGACTACACGCGATTCTGATATACATCAGCCTAACTAAGACGGCCCTTATCACAAGGTCAACTGGACATGCTCCCCTTAAGTGAATGACTGAACTGAACTCCCACCTGCATGCCAGGCAGATCGTGCCGGTCCTCCGCGGCTGTCCCCTGGAGAGCTCACTGCTCGGATGTGTCAGACAAGTCAGGTATCGCTTCAACATGTAGGAATCATAGCCGACGGTGCCAGTAGCCGGGAGAGCAATGACAGCAACGACCTGAGGCAGAGGTATCGAGGGGCTCACGAAGTCTAGCATGCGAACTGGCAATGGCCTGCAGTTCCGAAGTCTGCGCAGCGCTGTGAGAAGACCGATGCTGCGGTGTTTAGGAAGGTTGCAATATAGGGACTAAATCAATGCCAATGTTATTCCTTAGGGCTCCTCATCATATATGCCCACGCCCCCAAAAGCCTATTCCAAATTTTCAGGCCCTTATATTATGGAGGAGGAGGAGGCAGGGTCCAGGCTTTGAGGTGAACCACGACCGTAACCTTGGGCCCGAAGCTACTTGTATCCTCGCATGAGCACTGGGAAAATCAAGGCTTCCCGTCGAGCCTCGTTCGTTACAGGTATGCTTTGACTGTGGTGTGTATCGATGTATGGTACACACCCATATATATATATATATAGATATGTATATATATATATATATATACTTATGTAGATATATATATATATATATATACAGATGCAACTATGTCAGTGGATATGTCTGTATGTATGTGAAAAACAGACGGATGTGGTGGCGGTCTGAGAACTGGGGCACTGAAGGTGTGAACACTTGGACGAATCGCTCAGAGCTCGGACTGGCGGAGTTGAGGGTTCCGTTTGACTCGTTTGGACTCTGGACACTAGGGTTTAGCGGTTGAGGGTTTAGGTTTGCAGTTGATCAACACCCTTCAATTTCTTGCCCACCATTGTCTGACAGTTGTGCTTGCAGCCATCTTTCGGACGAATTCTGACACAAAGCCTACGCTTTGCAAAGCGGCAGCCGCGACCGCAGACCCAAAATGACCTGGTCTTACCGTACAGGCAGCTACTTACAGTTCTTCCCTTGCAGTAGACAGTGGAATTATAGCCTTCACCTGTTCAGTATTATTTTGTATTATCTTGTATGACTATTGCTTGCTTTCGAGGTTACGATCTGCCCAGCAAGCCACGGCAGACATGCAGGCGGCGTTAGCAGAGATGTCACAGATCCTATTCAGGCTGCCTCGAAGCCAAAAGATCTACTTGATTTAAGAGCCTTGGATTTTGGATTGAGCACCCAGCGGAGAGCAGGGCGTGAGACCTGCTTTGTCGGCAGGGGGCGCTAGATGCCTTCCGCAAGGACGGGCGACGGCAGTTCGAATTTAGGCCAATGTTTTCCAAAGCATCCGCCGGTTGTGCAGCTGAGTCCACATGATTCTTAGTCTTAGCCCCAAACCTTGGACCTTTAAATGTAAGTGGCCAAGTGGACCGACTTGGACAGGACCGACGACTTCAGGGACCCATGGAGGCACCGGGACACAACAGAGGGACTGTACTCTTTTGAAGCCATCAGTGCACTTAGTAAGTACATCATTCATTAGGGAGCCAGAACTACCTGCTTACGAGTCCCTTGCAGCACTGACACCTCACAAGCCCTTGTCCGTTAAAGAAAACTATAGATCCGCTTGAAGCCTCTGAGAAATCGTACCCATAAATGCCCTCCACGGTTTGGTTGAGGTAACTGGTAGAGCTTCCATGCGCATCCGATAGCAGCTGCATGTCTCTTGAACAAGCAGCGCATCGGCGCAGTGTCCAGAGAGTTTAGGTTTCGGGATTGAGGTTTTCACAGTCAATACTGACAGGACCCATCGTCTCGGCGAGGGATGGACAACTTCAAATTCACCACCGCAGGTAACCCACTTGTCCTTCTGACACACCAAAAAACCCAGCCCCTAAGTACATAATATGCCTTAAGCATTCGGATTCTGAAGCCCACTGCTGCCAGGAGGCTTTGAATGGAAAAGCACCGTTCGGTACTGGAAGTTTCGATGTCCCAAGCCAGTTTTTTGGTGCCTATGGCTGCCCCAAGCCCATGACCACTGACCCAGAACCCCCTAAATCGGGGTCCCAGTATCATTAACACGGGCCAATCAAGCCTCCGAGCGAGACAAAAATCTATGTTTTGTTCAGCGTATCCCTCTCTGACTCCCTAAAACCTAATTCCGGCCCCCAAAACTCTAAACCCTAAGCCCCGTCCAAATGCTTAGCACCGAAAACAGCAGGACCCCCTGGAGCTTCTCGAGTGGAAAGCGCCCCGAGAGGTGCGCGAGACTGCGGCGAGGCCGGAGTGGAAGACTACCCGCCTTTTGTCGAAACGTCATTGTCAGCTCTACAGGGAGAGAGTGAGGGAGAGAGAGAGAGAGAGAAAGACATCCTGTCGCAGCCTTTCATGCGATGCCAAAAGCACACGAAGCATCAACCCCAACCTGAAGTACAGCAAAAATCCCCGAAGAAAAACGTCGGAGATTGGCAGGGCATAGCAGCGGAGAAAGTATGGCAGGAGTTATGAAATCATCCCGAGGTCGTAGGAACTGGCAAGAAAAGGTCATTTCTTGCTCGGAACAGGCTAGTCGGCAGACGCGCTGGAAAGACGGACGTCGTGCGGGTTACGATCATGCCTGCTCTTCACCTTACAAACACTGGCACGGACATCATGCGGAATTCAAGCAAGTGTGGCCTTCAAGTCAGATGTAGTCGATGCCACCAAAGACTGCCAACACCGTGTCATTTCGCTTTCGTAGAGCCGAAGCCTCTTAAACTGTTGAAAATCATGGTCATCGTCATGGCCACCACGGCTGTCAGGAGCAACCCGATCGTATGTACGAAGTTGTGTCGCCTGTGTCTTCCTTGCCGGGGAGGCATGCAGTGTTGCTTCTCACGGGGGTTGGCAGCAGCCTCTGAAGACCAGGAGCCGCACCGGAGAACTGGAGGGGAAGCCTGATCTGGACGTGAGGGAGAAGTGGAAGTAAACTTGAGCTGTGAAGAACTTCTGAGCGCCGGTACCCAAAAACCAAAACATGCCAAAACACTGAGTCTCTCGTTCATGCTTGTCGAAAGTTTTTCATTTCAGACCTTCGAAGTTCCAAATTATTATCCTTTGCCCGTGCCTTGCGCGTTGCTTCTGCGAGCCGAGTCCTAGTGAAGCAGCTGAAGCACATTCCGGAAGACTTGTAACCTGCAATGCGGGGCGTCGAGCCGTGCCAAGTGGGAGCCAAAAACAGATGCTTCTTACTTAACTTGCAGCCTTTTCGTCTTTCGTGCCGACGGGTGGACCTGCGAGTCTGGGAGAGCAAGAAAACCCCCCAAACCTGTCAGAGGCCTCTCCGAGCCGTGCTGGCGGTGAAGAGATCTCGCCATGCAGATGGGCCAACGAGTGCCGGAGGACAGGGTCCTCAAGAGTTCGGATTGCAAAAGTCAAGAGTTTTGGCATTAGGGAACTTGTGGTCTAGGGCCCGGGTCTTGCGGTTCCCACCAATATCTCTTCATCTGTTCTTTGACTGCCGACACTGTGTGCTTCGCTTGTGCACGTCGAAGATTCACCACCGGAGTGTGACGGAGTGTGACACCTATTCCAGTGAGAGATAGATATACTTAGCAAAAGCACCGTAAAGCCGACGATCTTGTTGCTCTGTTTCGCAGGCATGGCAGATGGCCAGCCTGTCCAAGGAAAGGAGGCGGAACTCCAGATTGCTTAACGTTCACACACCTTCCATAGGCTTTGCAATGCTTTGCAGAGCGCTGTGCTTGTTATGATGTGTTCAGACTGACTTCTTGGCAAATCCTGGGCCCACAGCCCACATCTCCGAAGAGCCCAGCCATGCAGAAAGCATGTCCTTTCGCATCCCTCACATACGTTACCTAAGCAAGCTCGATGCTGGCCATAGACAGTCATACGCAATGAAGGCGAATATCCGACGCTTGTCGATACCTATCCAGGGCCAGCTATGCTTCTGCTAGTGGCCTTGCTGGCTCTCGCTTTGCTGTTGCTGATTGCGCGCTGGCGTGCACGGAAGCAGAATCGAAGGGACGGCTTGTCAAGCCTTGCCAAGAGGGACAACTCCTCACTACCGATATTTAGCCGCAGCCCTGCGTGCGATGGAGTGAGGAATGCCCCTGACGAAACTTTATCAGCCAGCTGTGACCAGTGTCACGAGGATGGAAAGTATCAGGAGGCTGCCATGAATCCCATCGACAAAGAGATTCTCGACAACAAGTTCGGTGCTCCCAGATCAGAGCTTTATGGCTTGACCTACTACCCAATCGCGGAGGACGTCACCGCACTGATCCAGGTCAGGACTTCGGCATTCCATCGTTCGTGTGATATGCCGCGCACAGCCGTAACAATTTGTATGGAACTGTCGTCTCGTCTCGTAATCACACATATCTCGGGCAGCCGTACCACATACTAGATAGAAGTCTTCAATTCTCGATCGTCCCAGTCGATCAGGTTAAGGTCGTTCAGGCCCTGCGACTTCCCTTTCCAGGTGGCCGTCCGTGATGCATCGAAGCACGCGGAGGTGGAGGAGAAGCTCGAGCAGCTGCGTGCGCTTAGCACCGATCTCCCTGGGTCCGGATGGGTGCAGCCACAGGATCTCAGAGTGCCTCGCATGTGTTGAGACATGCGCGTTCTTTGGGACTTCAAAATGGTGGTTTCATGCATGCCTAAACTGTTTAGGCTTTTGTGTCAGAGTTCCTTGTTTGCTGAAACTCCCAGGTGCTGCTAAGATTCCTTCTCGCGCGGCAGTGCCACGTTGAGGAAGCCTTCACCATGCTTCGCTCGGTTCTTGAGTGGCGGCAGCAGAAGCTCTTGAAAGTCAGAGCTATGCAGCGGGTTTTATATGTTTTAAGACAACTGGAGGTAGCTTCTTTCGGGGTGCTTGTACAAGGGATTCAACAATTTCGGGTCTTTATTATTTGATATACTTGATACGAATTAAAGTCCCATACAAATTAAAGTCCCCGTTTTGGTTTGGCTCCTGATCGTCGGACGTTGTTTGGGCTCAGGGCAGTACAGAACCTCCCGGGGCCCCTAGCTAAGTTTGCATTGTGCTTCGATTCCCAGGAGTGATGCTGGCATACTGGGGGAATGGATCCTTATGGTCGTCCCTGTATAATCCCCCATAGTAGCCCCAATTACCCATTCCCTTTCAAGGAACCCTAATGATTAGGGCCTAATCTCAAGAGATAGTAGTCCGTATATAATCCCCCACAGTAGTCCCAAGAACCCATTCCCTTTAAAGGAGCCCTAATCTCAGGAGTGATGCTACGAACGTGCTACCGCGCTGGGAGAAGCGCAGGCACGAGAAGTTGGATCTGCACTGGAAGGCCCTGGGCCGGTCGGGGAACGATCACGAGGGCGATCCGGTGGCTGCTGAGACCTTAAGATTCCTTGGGGAGTTTCCGAAAAGAAGGGGTACCTTAATATGGGGTCCCTTATAATAAGGATCCTACTATTTAGGGTACTATATTGGGGTCCGCTATTTTCGGAAACCCCCATTTAAGCTGGCATAAAAGGAAGGCAGGTGATCGCTACATTACTGATAGCAAGCTCTATGCTGAGCAAGACCCCAAGGTTTTCGAGCGTGTCGGGCAGAATGACTTTCCAGGCCTGCTGAGCTGCGATCATGAGTTCCTGAAGCAACACACCATTTACAATGCAGAGTGCGTCTTCGCTAGCCTCGAACTCGCAAGACGAGAGAATTTGAAGCTGCTTGACATCCCGTAATTCGCAGCGGATCTGTCCAAGAAAAGATGAAGGTAGAAGTAGGTGTTTTGTTGCCCTAAAGGTTCGAGGGTATGCCTGAGATGAGATGGACTGAGGAAAGGCAGTAGCCGCGGCTTTCAGTTCACGGTGGTAGTGGACATGTGCGGACTTGACCTGGGCTTCATGGATCGGCATCTCCTGAGCTTGCTGCAGATGCTGGAACGTCAAACATTGGATTCATTTTGGGGGTTTAGGGTTTAAAAAGATCTGTGTTTGAGTTGTTCTTGCTGCTCTGCGATCGCGCGTGCAGAGATCCTAAGAGAAGCAACTGAGGACGCTGGGCCGAGTGGAATCGGACAATTATCCTGAGGCCCTCAAGCGGATCATCGTCATCCGGCCTCCCTGGATCTTCCCCTGGATATGGCGCGTGTGTCGCCCTTTCTTGGACCAGGGGACCATCGAGAAAGTCGAAGTAGTGGACGACAGTGAGACGACAGAGGTACTCCTAAGACACATTCCTGCCGAGAGTGTGCCGAAGGCACTCGGCGGAAATTGGTTTGATGGTAACGATGACTATTGTTCCAAGTTTATCGTTCCTGGAAGCACTTTGCCTCAGGAGATCATAGACATGACTTTTTCCAGCATCAAAGCTTGACGGTGCTTGAGGCTCCGGAGGAGTCTCCTTTGTGGGCAGTTTGACCCCGCCTCTCTATGGCCTTGGGGAGCCTTTGACATTACTTTCCAAGCGCTCCCGACCGCACACTAGCTAGAGCCCGACGAGAGACGTGGCAGAAAGAGTCGTGGACGCCCTTGGGCAGGTTGGTGTCAAAGCAGTCCATAAGCAGCCCTCTAAAACCTGGCAGGTGCATGGCTTCGATTCCTCTTCATTTCTGCCTTTTACGGCTTTCGGGTAGGCTCAAAGTCTTAGGTGTTAGGGTTTGGGGATTGTTGGCGCTCCTGGGTCAAAAGGGAGGCAGGATAACAAGGTCAGTAGCTATCCTGTCCTTTACCGGCATAGTCTTGTCCTTGCAAGTTGTCCGCAGGTCCTGGAGTTCAGGGGTGTAGGATCTGGGGTTCAGGTCCTCGCTAGATAAAAAGATGTTAGAAGTATAGAATCATCTGAACCCCCAAAAACCTATTCTAATCATTAAGGCCCCTATATTAGCCCCTTTTTTGGCTCGTTGCTTGAGGCCCAGCCGCTGGTCGACTACGGCAGTGACTCTGGGGAAGAGCTCCCAGCGTCTCAGACGGATCCGGAAAGAAGGGCCACGAAGCTTGCGCAATGTGGGGATTTCCGAAAATAGGATACCCGAATCTAAAACCCTAGATTGCCCTAGATAGTAGGATCCTTATTGTAAGGACCCCAAAAGAAGGTACCCCAGATTTTCGAAAACTCCCATGTCCCTGCATTCGCATATTCCGGTTGCAGGAATGCATTTGGAAGAGCACCCGAGAGCCGTGCAGGCCCAAAACCCCCGGCCCGTGACCCCGTAGCATGGGCCATCCATGGGTGTAGGGTTTAGGGCAAGGTCAGGCCCCAAATCTGATAGAGCTATCAGCACACGACGGTCGAGCATTGTTCAAAACCGCAAGGGCCTCATTGCCAGCTAAGCATTGGCCGGCATACTGCTTGCTGCCAGCTCTTGCAACACAGTTCCGTCATAGAGGGTACATGGAGGATCAAGTGACTTTCGTAAGCAAGCTTCTTTAGTACCTCACTGGGGTCGCAAGCACTTATAGGTATAGCCCCCAATTAGCAAATCCCCTCAAATCGTTTGATCTTTCAAGTAGGGCGCTGAAGAGTCCTTCCAGCTGCTGGCTTCATTCTGCCTCTGGCAGCTCGGTACGAAGTTTGACGACGGCTTGCCAACATCCGATGGTCGATTCCCAGATGCTGCAACGGCAAAGAGAGAGCGAGAGAGGCTACTAGGGTTCAGGATTCAAGCAAACATTCCTTAGATTGTTTAGCACTCGGCACACGTGTGAAGCCGAAACCCTAATCCCTTAATGCTATGAGGCTGACATGGCCGGGCCGCTGCGGCTACTTGCGGCCACACTGCTGTGCCAGGTTTGCTCGGCCTTTTGGCAGCACCGGAACAAACTGGAAAATCCCGACCCTGGACGAAGCTGCACTGCCGGGCCCTGGATCCTGGTCATAAACATCGCCCAAGTACCCTTACTGTTATTGTTACCATTTCTATTACTTTGAACAAAAACTTGTCTTTTGATAAGCAAGGCGCCGGCACCCAGCAGCGGTGAAGCTTGGCACTGATTAAGTGCTCTGCGAAATGCGGCGAATCGTCTCAGGGTTGCCATCGGGGGTGTTAGTATGCCTTAAGAATACAAACCGCTTTCTAGTGGCAGGGGGGTTTTAGAGTCATGTTGGGACTGTATGGTCTAGGGCGTGGGGTGCAGATGTGGTTTACAGTGCTGAAAGGGCCTGGAGGGTATGTAGTGCAGAGACGTATTTGGGAACGGAGGTGCAAAAGGCTCTATAGATCCCTCCTGCATACTGGCATGACCAACCAGGTCACAAAACATACTGCAGAACAGTCGTGATGTCGGGAAGCCTCGCAACCACTGCAACGATGCGGTGCGCAATACCAACAGAAAACAGTGAGCAAGTGTAACAGCAAAGATTGCAAAAGTAGGCACTACCTACATATACTGGAGTCTGTGTCCCCAACTCTAACATCCTAAACCCCTTACAGGGCCCTAAACCTTGGGTAACTGGTAATGTCTCGAAACCGCCCCCCCCCTCCCTCTCTAAAAAAACGCACTTCCCCAATACCTGAAACGTACTCTAAACCCTTCGAAGCGATTTGAGGCTGAGGGTCAACATGGAAACCTGCGAGGCCTGGAAACGGTTGGATAGGGCTGAGGATTTGGCTTTTCTATAGGGGATAGGGGCTTAAACAATCAATTGCCAAGCCTGTTTTGGGGGGGGTTCCTTATGAAAGTTTTAATACAAGGCGCCCCAAAACCCCATTCTAACTAATAAGGCTCCTATATTCGGACTCTAAGACATCGAGTTGATCGTTGTTCTTGTTTTTGATGTGGCGACTGTTTATCCTACACTTGGTATCAAGCACTCTTTGTCATGGTGTAGGTAGTGTTAGATTTCCAGCAAGACGCAGGATGACAACCATACCCTTACAGAGTAGCACTTCACCCACCTGCAAACTTAAACCCAAGGCCCCTAAACTTTAGATGCGAGCAGCCTCGTGTGAGCCGACACCTTCTGCACACTGGGACGTGATTTCCTGAGAAAGAGGTTGAGACGGTAAGTTGCAGTTGAACCATTGGTTCACCAAATACTTGCGCGCATGCTGGGCCATCCTATTTGTATTAGTCCTTCGTTGACGGCATTGTTTTGGGAAAGCGATTCTTTCAAGCCAACTCACGGTTTAACTGCTCGCATTTCAGACAGACTTCTGATGAATTTTGCATCGCGGGCTTTGGCCACGTGATGATGATGATGACCCCAGGGTACAGCACATTGTTGAGCTCCCGTCTTCCTGTACTAATGTCCTCGAATGCTGCCTAACAATGCAGGAGGCGTAAGCAGGCTCAGCCCAGAAGCCACTACTATAGGGGCCCGGGGGTTCCTTATAATAGTTATAGTATAACGGGCCCCAAAACAGTATTCGAATTACTACGGCCCTCTAGGCCCTATAGTAAAACATAAAATCCCATGGCGCAGGAAGTGTGGGTGGGCTGGAGCAGGTTCTGGTCTTCGACGCCGGGAGTAGTGGAACCCGCCGCTGGGCCCCGGAATTGTGAACGACCACTTGGATTTAGGGCATAGGGGTTCAGGGCTGTAGACGTCAGGGATTGACAGGTAGGGAACTCGAGTGGTTCAGGATGATTTCGCTAGTATCGGAATGGTCCTGTGTCTGGAACGAAACGTTCAAAACAAGCTTCTCATGAATTGCAGAACCTGCAACCCTGACCCGAAACCCTCATTTTCACAACCCTCTTCTCCCTTTGACCCTAAGAAAGACGAGCTCAGGCATTCATATCTTCAACATGTACATGCCGATGGCTGATGCTCACGTGCCGAGAGCCTCGTCCTAGTTCATTCAGAGGAGTGGGATGTTGAAGTAGAACAAGAGCTGGTGGGAAATAGATGGCAGAAGAACGCCGGCAAAGACTACAAACATCACCATCATAAGATCATTAGTCTTAGTTAGTTGTAATTACCTGTTATACACACACCTGTTTTATCCCTTCAAAAGCCAGTGTGCGATACCCTGGTTGCGTCACATGTCAAGTACTCAGCGATCTCAGGAGTGGACCTCGCTGTCCGAGATGCGCAAACGTTGAAGGCACATAGTTCCGTTTTGCGAAGAAGCTCGGGCAGACGCTGCTCGCGTGATGGCTCAGAAACCAGAAACTACGTGTCGGTGTTAAGTGCTAGTGTCCTGAAGCCTAGTGTCACTACGATGCTCGTTGCCATTACTGCTCTTAGCAGTGTTGCCAATATTCGTGACAGTACCAATACCTTTCTCTGCTACTGTGCTGTTCATGCATTGCTTCTGCTCGTTATAGCTGTTCACAGTTCCTGCATCAACTGCACACCTTGAACTTGGAAAATGCTCATGGCAAGTTACCGAATTCGATACTTGCTCACGTCCGTTTTATCTTCTGAATGTCTCTACTCAGAGAAGTAGTTTTGGCGGGCCCTTTAACTTCAAACCAGGTAGAAAACCGCTATGAAACTCGACTGGCGTTCTTGTACCACCAGCATGTAAGCCTAGTCTTTGAAAAAACAACTTCCGAAATCACGCAGACGGAAAAGGGAACTTTAAAAAAAGTTGCAACGCCCAAAGGCCCTAAAGAAGGCGCCGAATTTTGGAAAAATTCCGGGCAGGTGAAGCCTGGGCTCTCGGAGTTCGCTAAGAAGGAGGACCTCGAGGGTGCGCGCCGGCTTCCTATGTGTGTGTGCGTGTGTGTGTGTGGATCTTAATAGGTAGAATATGGGAGTTTCCGAAAATCAGGGCTACCTTATTTTGGTGTCCTTATAATAAGGATCCTACTATTTAGGGTACTTTATTCGGGTCCACTATTTTTTTGGAAACTCCCATATGTTGGAATGTTACATACTGTAAATAAGTACAGATTACAATATAATGCCCCATAATTCAGGGTTTTGGGCTTTAGGGCTTCAGGTTTCGTGCTTGCCTGTGGCTCCAGTCTCGAGTTGCCGAGTCTTTCGGTGTAATGGAATAGAGGAACGTTACTTACCTTTTCAAGCGGGGGCGAAGGCAGGCAATGTCGAGTTTTACGGGTTTAGATGGTTTAGGATGTACCATCTATTGGCAGGCTTCACGACTGCTCTCTGCTGGCCTTTGCAAGTACATGTGTGAGCCTCTCTTGGGTCATCAGGGCGCGCATTCCGAGCCTGCCTTAAATCTTTTGCCGCAAACCGTACATAAGCCCTCTGAACCCTTTAAAGCCTTAGCCTGAGACCCCGGAGGCAAAAGAACCCTGAAACGCCGCATACATCGCCAAAACCCTGAAACATCGCTTTGCGACCCCTTGGTTCAGGCTGCAGGCTGAACATCCAAGACCTGGCAACTTGTCCTTGGACAAGCTTTTGCTTGGAAGATTTCCTTAAATTACAGAAAGATCCCTGATGTGTTTCAGATAGGTTTCTCAACCTAAGGCCTTTGTGAGTGTTTGGGAAGTCCCAGCCTAAAATTGGATGTCGAACCGGTTTAAACCTGCTCAGGTAAAGTTTGCCAACAAGTTCGTGGCTGAAGAGCGCCGCGCGAAAACTCCCGTCCTGCTGAAGGCTCGACTATTTGAGCTTCGTGTGCTCTGGGTCTACAGGGGAGGGGTTTCGCGAAACAGGGAATCCCAGTATACAGTAGACCCCAAATAGTGGGATTCTTACTGACCCGGAATCGCGGCACTTTGGGTGTGGAGACCCCTGAAAGTGCTTCTGGGCTGGGGCCGGCGTGGGGGGGGGAGCTCACTTCTGCCACAGTCATACAAGGAGTCGTCTGTTGGGGCTCATGCAAACATCGGAACAGCAGCCGGATAAGAGAGTACATGTCCTAGAGCGAGACAAAGCGGAACCCATACCCGAACAGAGCTGGCTGCGCCTATCCAAATGTTACAACAGCAACTTGAATACCAATGAATGGCAGCCCGGAAAACAACAGATCACTACGGTAAGCATATCGAAACATGCTGTTTTTAATAGGCAAACATACACACTGTTTGTGGAATTGTGGATGTAAAGTGTATGTACAGTATAGTACACATACACATGCTTCTTCGTTCTATTCATGTGTATCTACATGCGCATTGTGCATGTATACATACACAACTATGACTGGGACTGTATATATATATATATACACACATATAAACGATCAACACAAGCCCTAAACCCCAAAGCCCCGAACAACCCAGACCCTAAATGGACATCCAAGTACACTTCGCTTTGCAGGCGACGGCGGGCCTTCGGGCAGTTCCCGAAGCCAAAGCAGACGCGGTGCTCAGAACTGCGGCTTTGCCAGCAAGAGCGGTTTAGGGTTTAGGCAACTCCCGGCGAAGTGGAAAGCCTGTTGCAAAAAGGGAAGAAAGAAGGACGAGGAGTAAAGCTGAAGGGTTTAGGCTTTTCGGGTTTCGGAATGTAGGCTTGGAAAGAACTAGGTCCTTGAGTGGTACCCCTTTACCCCCTTACCCCCAGCACCCCGAATTTTGGGGGGTGTCCTTTCAGCTATAGCCTTGCCATCATAAGGGGATCCTGGGAGAACGTAGATAAAGAACAAAATTGAAGGTTTGCAAGTATAATGGCTTAAGGTTCAATGTAAGGGAAACCAGCAGGTTCACTGTACAAGGAACAATGAGGGCTTTAAGCCTGGCATAAGCGGTTCGGGTTTGGCGTGCTTTGGACTTAGGGGCAAATGCGTATCTGTGTTAGTCCGTAGACTCCAAGCATAAACACATGCATGCCCTCACACACACACACAGACGGACGCCCGCACGCCCGTGTTTTGCGTGTGCAGACTGTACAGAGGCAAGTCCGTGTAAAGGGTGCCATCGTCTCAAGCAAAGCAGCTGGAACTTAAGCATCATGTTGCGAGCATTACGATTTGATAAGTCCTGGAACGTACAACGGGAAACTCACAAAGTCTTAAGTTGTCGCAATAGGTATCCATAGCAAACTCAGCAATAAGTCACTCAGCACTTTTTCAAAGCATGATAAACCCTGTACCACTCTCTGCAAAACAAGCCCTAAACTAAGCTGCTGAACAAGAACCCGAATGAGAGACTCCGTTGGGGTCAGGTTCGCTCCACCTTGAAAGACTCGGGCTACCAGTTTCAAGACGCACCTCGTCGGAAAAGCCGGCAAGCAAGGGATAGGACCTGTTCGGTTTATGGAGTGGGATTGTGTGTGTGTGTGTGTGTGTGTGTGTGTGTGTGTGTGTGTGTGTGTGTGTGTGTGTGTGTGTGTGTGTGTGTGTGTGTGTGTGTGTGTGTGTGTGTGTGTGTGTGTGTGTGTGTGTGTGTGTGTGTGTGTGTGTGTGTGTGTGTGTGTGTGTGTGTGTGTGTGTGTGTGTGTGTGTGTGTGTGTGTGTGTGTGTGTGTGTGTGTGTGTGTGTGTGTGTGTGTGTGTGTGTGTGTGTGTGTGTGTGTGTGTGTGTGTGTGTGTGTGTGTGTGTGTGTGTGTGTGTGTGTGTGTGTGTGTGTGTGTGTGTGTGTGTGTGTGTGTGTGTGTGTGTGTGTGTGTGTGTGTGTTTGTGTGTCTGTTTGTGTGTCTACAGTTTTCTAGGCCACTTACTGAAGTAATGAGGCTTAAGCTACGAGTCTTGAAAGGCCTCAATTCTACCGAGAACATGGGTAAAACTGATCGTAGGGAGCGTTTTCGTATGGAATGACGCACATTCCTTCCTGAAGGGCTTTTGGGTGTCGGGGCAGCTTGGAATGAGGTCTGTCTGCAGCAAATCCTGCATAGGGTTATGCCTGGGTGTTTTGATGGTTCCTATATCGAGTTTTGAGGGTTGAGGGGTCTAATTTCATGGAGACTGGTCTTCCAGCCGTCGAAACCCTCACATTCCCTGAACCCCAAGTGTTGAACCGGAAGTTTATGTCCGATCCTCAAAACCACGCAACTACTCCAAGTCCGAACTCCATCGCCAAGATCCCCAGAGCAAGCAGCATGTCACATGCAACGACATCGAAGAAGAGTCCTTATATTCTCATATATAGTACACTACCTTTTTCTTATCATAGACGGTAATTAAACTATATGACACATGATGAAAATATGTCATCTGGACAGCTTTCCGCTCAGTCGTGGGCCGACATCATCAAGGGCAAGGACCAGGGAGTTTCGAGTTTTGGGGTATTGCGCGTCCTTCCTTCTGAAGAACTATGACCTGTTAGTCGTCGATGTCTGCGTTCCCGCATTTAATTAGCACTATATGCAGTTAGACAGGTAGACAGACAGACAGATACGCAATGGTTGATACGGGGCTGTTTGTGTGTCTGGCGAACTCTACTTGTTGCATCTGTGTACACAAAAATGCTTATTCATGTCAATGTATGTATCTGTGTCGCATACTACATAGGGCATCATGGAGGCAAACGTTGCTGGATTCTGAGGCCCCATCTCAGCGAGCCACACTGCTGCGTCAAATGTCTGTTCTGTAGGTGTTGCTGAAGGGGTTCCTATCATACCCAGCACGGCATGATGCTACACTAGAAGGCCGCCGGCTCTGAGACATGAAACAAGCCAAACACCCGTGATAAATACCCTGAAAGTTCCTCGCAATCTAAGAGCCCTTCCAGTCTCCCAAACCCTTCAACCTTCTAGCAAACACTCACTTCAAACGAGCCCTTCAGAACCGCTTTGGATAGATCGGTAGACAGCAACCCCTTGCAGAAGCCCTCGCAGACAAAAAAAAATCATCTGATGGAATGGAAAGCTTACTTGTAGCCTCTCTACTAAATCCTCTGATCTTGCAGGTAAACCGGAGGAGAACCTTTCAAGACACCATGTAGGCTTTTCTTTCCACTGGTAAATCGAAGGAAGAGGCCGCCCTAGCCTGGATCGCAGCAAACTACCTGCGGGGCAGCTTCAACGTGGCCGCGGAGCTTGAGAAGTACGGCAGTCTCTACTTCATTGAGAGAGAGAGAGAGAGAGAGAGAGAGAGAGAAGCGAGAAAACCAGAGCCAGCACGGGTGAGGGTGAAGGATTTCGGGATGTGTTGCTGTTTTTCAGATATATGTGAAGCGCGAGGCCCAGGTGACAGGTCTGAGCCGACTTAGATGCAGTTGTCCCGCTTTGGTGTCGATCCGGTGGACTTTGTAGGTGGGGTGGAAGTAAGCTTGTCAGAAGCACTGTGGCCACAATAGGCCCCCCCGCTCCAAGCACTTGTCGTTGTCACACTTCGTTTCAGAAGTTTTGAGGCAGGGTATGGTGTGGTGGCTGAAAGGCGGTGTATTACTTTTGTTCGAACTTCTTGTTATAGCCATAGATCATTCTTATCTAGCCAGTAACATCCCTGCATTGCGAACCCTATCATGGGCTCCTTTGAAAGGAACCTTTTATTGAAACGAAACCGTTTCTATGTATGCGGGACCGCATACATAGAACGCCGGTTGTGAAGCACTCGAGCTTCAGCCGTGGCACGAGGTGCATTTCTCCTATCCTACATAATGATAATGTTAGGATGCCTTCTCTACTGTAGCTTTCACATTCATCAAAGGGTTTGGGTCAGCATACCCAAGCTGAGGATTCGGACGTCCCGTCCATGGGCGTGATCGAGATGGGTGGCGGGTCAACTCAGGCAGGATTCGCAGGATATGCTAAGGCTCCGACTCCCCGCTGAGCAAGAGCAAAATTTTCAGCTATGACAAGTTTTGGCTTGGGCGTACGGGCTTGGAATTTGGGAAGTCGGTGGGGCTGTTAGGGTTCGGAATAGAGTTCCGCAACGCAAAAACTTCAGATCACTCTCAGGCTGGAACATGTGACCAATCCGCCAGGTGACCTTCGAAGTGGGGGTCGACGAGTTTGCATCTTGGCCTTCGCTTGAAGCCACGACCCTTCGGATCCCGGCTTGGGGGTTTCAGGACTTCGGGCAGCCAGCAGAGGGAGACTACATGACGTCGGATTCTGAATGTGGGGCTCGTACGATGACCCATACCAGATGTTGTATTGAGGAACCATGTCTATTTGAGTCCGTTGGTGGACAGTGGTAGCATTGAAAGTAGCCCATCTTCTCAAGCATGACGCCATCCTCTTTTTTTCCCGATCTTTCCAAGTTTACGTACGCGTGGAAAGCCCTAGGAACGGGTCGCTGAAGTCGATCGATTCCAGTTCAAGACAGGGATGGGTCGCGCCGGCGGCTCAGTACTGCACAGCCGGTAGCAAGGCGCAAGGAAGTAAACGCTTCGCGTCGTCCACCAAGTGAAGAGGATGGCTCGGTTGTTTCGCGCTGGTGGTGCGGGTCAGGTGGGCCAGGATAAGGTGGGTCACAGGGCAGGGGATGAAGAGGAGGGGAAGCAGGAGATTCGTGTAGGAATCTCTGACCACGTCGGCCGGGGCAGAGGCGAATATGGGAATGTCCCATCTGCCAACTGAAATCGTTCTGAGGGAGTGCATGTTGTAAAGCAGGGGTCTACATTAGGTAAGCAAAGTGCCGGAGCATGTGTCCCTGCAGGGGTCCCGATCTCATGCGCAGGAAACAGTATGTAAACTGTGATCTGTTCCTGTGCGGATCCGAACAGACTCGGAATGATGGGCTCCATGTCCGATCATGGCACCCTGCGAGCATTGGGCGCAGATACATAATGCTGGGAGACAGACCTTTACATACGTACATACTCAATGGCCCAACGGAATTACTAAGCCAGGCTATAATTAAGACAGTTCCACTTACGGGGGCAGAACCTCAAGTATACCCCACCGCTTACTCAGTTCGCGGAGCCGGTAAGTACGGACTTACTCACTTTCGTATGTAAGGCACATGCTTGCTTATGTTCTTTCTTACTTGCCTATTTTGCTCACTAGCTTGTGTGCCTAGTTGCATGCTTACGTACATGTTAACTATTTACGTACACATGTATGTGTGAACATACTTGCAAACATGTGTATATATATATATATACATACACACACATATATGCAAGATACTTAAAATCTACATATAAAAATATAAATGTATATATATATATGGATATGGTAACTCCCACCACATATGGTCTCGCATGTCCTTCTTAAAGTCCTGTTACTTATATAGATCTAGGGTGAAGAGGAAGCAAATCCAGTCAATAGGAACCTACTACGTGGTGTGAAACTGTTTTTGCATTCTTCCCCCGCTGCATTGCGAACCACAGCGGAAGCCTGTCGTCTCACCCAATCAACAAAGTAGTAAAAACAGGGAGCACAAGCAGCAGGTACCCGACCACAGCCGACAAAACAAGAAAAGCAAACATACAGCAACAACAACCAAAAAAGTAGCAGTTCCAGGTGCAGGGTAGGGCTGATGTGTTTTGTGGTTTTGGTTGTTTTTGTGTTTGTTTTTTTGGGTTTGGTTGGGTGCCTGCTGATCCGCGGTTGTGCTGCTGGTTTGCCGCGCGGCATTGCTCCCACACAGTGAAATTGGATATCATGCGGTCGTCCTGTCGGGTGCGATTCACGAGACCAATGCAACTTGTATTGAGTTCGTTTTGCGCTGCAATCTCCACCTTGGAACACAAGCACTGCATGGAAGTGGTTTCTGCCTTGCTATGCTAGCTCCATACTAATATGGGTGTTGATCCTTTCTGGCTGCTTGTACCTACGTCTCTGTAACACTGTATGGTATATGTTTTCATGTCTACATACGTTTAAGCTGAGTATGATGCAGCATATATATATATATACAAATCTGGCTTTCTTCATGCATGTACCCTTTTATCATAGACGTGGCCGCAGGTATCTTGATTGCATTTCTAGGTGCTTCCACAGATGTGCATGTGTGCAATATTGCCGATATTCCTCAAGACAAATAGGCAGGCATGTAAAAAGATACATGTAGAGATACAGGCAGACATTGAACATGGTTACATGCAGTACTACATATTACATATACCCTTATGGCAGCGCTGATTTTATGTAAACATGATGAGTTGTTCTTGTGTGTATACACCGGCAGATTCCACCAGTTCTGTCAGTGCAGAAAAACTATACTGTGTAAACGGCTTACATACATGTTATCTGTAAGTCTGGCCTTAGCCAGGTATGTATCCATTTATGGTTAATCAGATGTGCCCAAAGGCATCTTGATTGCTCTTACAGGTGCTCCCACATGGGAACATGCGTGCAACACTGCCGGTATTCCCAAAGAAAGATAGGCAGGTATATAAAGGTATGCATATGAAGAAAAATTTAGACGTTGTTTTCTGAAGTTCACAAGAGAGCAAGGACTCAGGTTGCTCTGTCAATACATTACAGGTCTACATGCAATGCTACATTTGATGTACGCTCTTATAACAAGCGGGCTTCACATGCAAATTATGAGTTGTTCATGTGTGCATACGCCGACGGATTCCACTAGTTTTGGCCTTGTATATGTATATATGTATATCTTATCAAGATTTCGCATTTGCAAACATGTGCAGCATTCTCAATGTTCACATAAAGCCATCAACCAGATACATAGATGCATATATATATATACATATTTGTATATAGGCCTGTAGACACATTTGTTTAACGTTAGCAAGACATACATCGCCTACATGGTTACTATGCCTCTGTGGGCTAGCATAGATATATATGTAAACATAGACGAGCGTATGCATGTATGTATGTATGTATATACTTGCATATGAACGTATAAATGCATATACATGCATATAACATAAGCATATACATACATTTGTACACAATCATATACATATACAAAGACATAGACACATACATATACACACATACATATTTGTGTACGCGCACATATATGGCCAGGTCTACTCCTTGTATGCCCACAGCTACCTGGGAGTCTGAGCTGCAAGAACTCGGGAGTGGGACTGGCATCCTTAAGCCCTTCGCAGGCAGACGGAAAATCCCGAGTGCATCCTAGCGCGTTCCAAAACCCTGCCGCGACACGCCGGGACACACCTCGCGTAGACTTGCCTCCCCAGCAGGGACCTTGCCACGTTCCAGGACCCATGCGATGCTCGCAAACAACTGCAAAGGCTGTCCTGCCAATTCACGTCAACTGTCAGGCTTCAGACCAGCACGTTAAACCACAACTCTTCGCATGCGGAGACAAGAACCGATTTTATCCTAGTCCGAAAGCCATAAGTAGAGCATAGTAGAGCTGCCAGTAAGGGAAGTCAATACAAAAAAGATCCACCTACAGATTCCGGAATAAACCTTAACCGTTCGTTGCTTCATAAGCTTTCGTTGCTGTTATACGGCTTTTGGCTCCTGAAGTCCGGAATATACCTGAACCTTGCAGGGGTCCTTAAGCCTATACAGGGAGCTCGGGAGAGCTAATGGAATCCAAAGGGCACAGGTACTGGTACCAGGCTTCCACGAAGACCGGTTTCCCACGAGAGGGGTTGGTTCGAGGCTTTGGGATGAGGCTTTCTGGTTTTGGTCTTCGGATTCTAGTCTTATGAGACTTGTTCACAAAAGCGGTTAAAGAGGCTTTTCCCCAAAGCCGAGGCTTCGGCCAGGATTATGCTCAGTCGAAACTGCAAGACACCATGGGCAGCAGCCAGAGTCTGGATCTGAGGGTGATCAGAGACCAGTTTCGGGGGTTGCTGGGTTTTGACAAGCTTGTGGGATTTGGGTCGAGGGTTTTTCAGTTGAGGGCAGTGCCCTATTCCGAATCGGGCTCGAGGTTGGAAGACAGAATAACTAGCCCTGAATCCTGTATAAAGGCTCGCTTCAAAAGCCAAACCCTAACCGAACTCATACAGCCGACCCACCAACATATGCCTCGCCTAGACTGGCCGAGTGCGAGCGCGAAACCACAAGATCCTCAAGAACCTAAAACCGCCAAAAATTCCAAACTCCTATACCGCCTATACTTGTCAGAGCTCAGAAAAGACTGAGTCTTGAGTCAGGTTCCGACCCCTGCTACCCTGTGGGCTACGAACGCGTGACGAGCGGAATCCGGCACACTGGCAGCTGGGCGACGATGAATTAGAATGGCAGGCTTGTGTTTTTTCTTTATAGGTGCATTCGTTTGCTGATTTAGGGAACATGCCTTAAATGAGGGCGTTGTTGGGATCTCTGAATACAAGTCTGAGTGAAAGCCGTCGGGTAGAAGTAGTGGCGCAACCCTGCACAGAGTTTTGACGTTTTGACAGATAACTTTAGCTCTAGACGGGGAGGCCTCTCGCTTACACATGCAACCTGGTCTCAACTTTGGACGAATGCAGAAGCCGAGGTAGCGGCGATTCAACACAATGTCGGACCAACATTCGGTCCCTTCTGTTTCAGGAGAGCACGCTGGCATTTCAGACTGGAAGGGCGAAATTGTTCTTCGGTCAGGAAAGAGACTGTTTGTAGGGAGTTGACCTTGAAGTAGGTTCGTAAGAAGGAACTGCACCATTGCTCGTTGTCACGAGCTGACAAACACGAAATCGGGCCAAGAACAGCACACCGTGCGCATCCTGCACATTTTCTCCGTATTCCGAGTTGTGGAGGAAACGACTGCTCCCGGACGCTATGAGCTGCCTGGCCAGATTGTAGTAGTCATGTGGCGGGTGGGTGCCATCCTCAAGTTGACACGGGGCTTCAATGATGCTGTAGCTCTGTTCTTACTTGCGTTCATGTCCTCCTTGAGGGTAGTTCTGGAATGTTCAGCCAAGTTTCTGCCTCGTCGACTTGCAGTTTGCATGGGAGTGTGGCTAGTCGATGTTGACATCGCAGAGTGGAGGTTCAAATCACGTTGGCAAATCATAAGAGGCCATGTATCAGCCGGATCCTGCAGTCTCAACTATGGACTCCGTGGGTCTCCTTTGCCACCTCCTGTGGACCAGGCATGAGCTGCCTGTGCGAGGGCGCTTCGCAGCGACGGAGACTGGTCAGTTGACGGTTTGGGTGTAGGGTTTATGGCGTACTTAAGGTTTCAGTTGAAGGGTTAGGGCATAATCTTTGCAGCCGGGAGAAGCTACCTACAGTGTAATTCGAGGCAACTGGTGTGTTTTTGATTCTTGGTGTGCTCCTGATGGTGCTCCAGCCCTCTGCAAGAGCTGGTATACGATTATGTACCTGATTTCAACATCTGGGATCCTGAGCCCCTCAGCACTCGCAAGTAACTCACTTGACTGCAAGAAGCCCCCACGATCCTGTGCACGCCTGGTGTCAGACAACTTCACCGACCAACTGTCAGCCCATGTTACAGTCTTTCCGTTTGAGTCGGATTCAGCTTGAATGTCCTGGCATCTGACCTGAGGAGAACTTCTATTACGTCCGGAATGACCTGAAGCTCCCAAACAAGGCGTGGCCAGGGATGCTGCGGAAGACATATGTAGCTATGCTGCAACTTCCGGTTCTAAGCGGAATGCGACTACTGCCGGCTAGTAGCGCGAAAATGAGCATGTATAGAAATATCTACACAGACGAACATGCAGAAATTGTTG